CGGCCGCCGGGGGTCCGCACGCACCTCTCGCCGGATGAATCACCCAGCGTCCCCGCCCGCCGGCCGCTCGCCCTGGCGTGCATGTGCCGTTGTCCGTCCTTCTCCCCCCGGACCCCGACGCCCGAAGCCCGGAGCCCGCCGAGGGGCGGGGGAACCGCGGCCGCCGTCCGGGCTCTTTTTCCCACACTGCTGCCGGGAGCCAGCCCGGGGTGGCCGATCTGGGGGCGCCCGGTCCGGTGGCACCCGGGACGCCCCCGAGAAGCCATGCACGATGGTGCCGATGGTCCGATCAGGCGCGCCGGGCGCGTGTCACGAGCACGCGTGATTGGCGCCCGCTTGGCGGCGTTTCCACCCTCCCCCGCCCGGGCCCTCGCCGGAGGGAGACGCCCCGGGCCGGCTGGGCGCCGCCGCGAGGCAACCACGGCGGCACACACACACACACACACACACATGGACGCACACACACACACACACGGACGCACGCACACACACGGACGCACACACACACACACACACACACACGGCGCGGGAAGGAGCCTGTCTATTTTTGTTTCTATTCCCCCCTCGCGTGGCGGGAAGATGGCCCGAAGGGTCGGCACTGGCCGGGTCCCCCTCGGCCATACGGCCGCTGGCCTGGGCGAGTGAGCGCGCGCCGGCGAGGAGCAGGGGATGGGGGGGGGGGGGCAAGGGGGAAGGCGCTTGCTCAGGAGGACGGCGCCGCGTCGGTGCCCACGGCGGCGTCGGCAGAGGAGGAGGCCGCGGCCGCCTGCAGGCGGCGCTCCTTCTCGCGCTCATACCGGTCGAGAGGCGACTCGCTGTAGTCGACGTCGGCCAGGGCGTCCGGGCGCTCGCCGAACTTGAACCACCGGTTGGCAATGTTGAAGGTGATCAGCCCGGACAGGCCGAAGCTCAGCACCAGAACCGAGGCCAGGGTCCGGCCGCGGTACTTGCGCCCGGCCGAGGTGCTCAGCGCCTCGGCGCGCTGCTGCTTCTGCGCCATGAGCTGCTCCAGGCGGAGGCGGTTGCGCTCGGCCTCGGTGAGGGCCGCCCGGTCGAGGGCCGCCGCGCCGTCCGGCATGTATGTCCGCAGGCCCTCCGGGCTGAAGGCCGACAGCCGGGGGATTTCGGCGGTCGGGGCCGCCGCGGGGGTGGCCGGGGCGGCGGCCGGGGCGGCGGCCGGGGCGGCGGCCGGGGTGCCACCTGGCGGGTTCTGCGACAGGGCCGCCAAGGATCGCGCGAAGGCGCCAGAGGAGAGCATGGTGCTGGCGAAAAAAAAAGAAGGCGGATCGGGAAGGAGATGGAGGGGGGGGGGGAGGCGGGGATGCCCGGTCCCCCGGGACCCGGGCAAGATCGCGCCCCGGCGCCTCATTTTTGGTGCGCATGTGCGGGCCGCAGGCCGGGGACGCGCGTCCGGGCACCCGTGTGTGCGCCCTCCCCGGCCCCCGGAGACCAGCAGTCCGGGCGCCGACGCGCGCGTAATTTGCGAAGGGGGTCGCGTGGACCGTTGGCAGCGACACTGATCGGTGACCGCCCCCCCCGGTGGACAACCAAAACACATCCACACATCAACACACCCACTCACACACCCGGCACAGAGTGAAGGGCCGATAGGCCGGGGCGGGGCCGCTCGGCCGCAGCCATCCCAGTCATCCTCCACATCCCCCCCCCCTTTTACCCTCTCCTGCCCCCTCCTTCCCCCCCCCCCCCCTCGGAAAAAAGCGGCACAAGCGACCGAGCGCAAAGAAGAAGAAGAAGAAGAAGAAGAACAACATGTCTCGCCTGTTGCGCTGTATGGCCACGTCCGCCGCCCGGCATGCGGCCGGCCGTCGATGCCCCGCGCCGGGGGTCCTCCCTGCGGGCCTGCTCCAGGCGCCCAGCCCGCCGGGGCTGCCGGCCGTGGCGATGCCGGGCTTGCTCCGCACGGCGCCGGTCGCCCGACTGTCCTCCTGTGCCCCGCCCGCGGGCGACGCTCCGGCCCGCTGCTCGGCGACCGGGCTCCTGCTTGTGCCGGAGCCGGAGGAACGCGCGCGCATGGCCGCGGCGGCGGCCACCGCCGCCGGGCTGGACCCGGTGCAGACGGACTTCTTCCTGCGCCTGGCTGCCGGCGAGCGGGCCGCCCTGGCCCGTGTCATCACGCAGCTGGAGAGCTCGCGCCCGGTGGACCGCCAGCGGGCGCATGCCATTGTCGACGCGGCTGCGCGTCTCACACAAGAGGTGCGCGGCTTCCTTCCCCCTCCTCCGCGCGCGCGCGCGCGCGCGCTTTCTGCCCGCCGCTGACCGCCTGTCCTTTCCCTGCCTGCCGCGCCCCGCCTCTCGCCTTGACGATGCCATCGCGGAAGCTGCCGCCGGCCTTCCGCCTGGGCATCAGCGGTGCCCCGGGCGCCGGCAAGTCCACCCTGATCGAGGCCCTCGGCCTGCACATTGTCCGCCGTGGCCTGCGCCTGGCGGTCCTGGTGCGCGCTCCCCTTACCTCGGCCCCTTGCCCCTTGCCGCTGCCGCTGGCCGGCCGTCGGCCAACATGCCGGCCTACTGACCTGCCCGGGCCCCCCGCGCATGCGTCCCCCTGCTCGGCTGGCCGGGCCAGGCCATCGACCCGTCCAGCCCGCGGCACGGCGGGTCCATCCTCGGCGACGCGACTCGCATGTCCGGCCTGTCGGCGCACCCGCTGGCCTATGTGCGGCCGAGCCCCACGCGCGGGGCCCTCGGCGGCCTCGGCCCGCGCACCTCCGACGCGGTGACCCTGTGCGAGGGTGCGTTTTGTGCCCTGCCCACCGGCCCCGGCCCCGGGCCCATACATATGCTGCCTCTGGCCCTGGCTAATGTGCAACATGCCTTTGACTCGCCCCGTGCGCGCCGGCCCCCAGCGGCCGGCTACGATGTGGTCCTCATCGAGACCGTGGGCGCCGGGCAGAATGAGGCCCATGCGGCCGACGCGGTGGATGTCCTGGCCATGGCCCTCGGCCCCGGGCATGGGGATCGCCTGCAGGCCCTCAAGCGCGGCCTGGCCGAGCTGTCGCACATCATCGTGGCCACCAAGGCCGACGGGCATCTGGCCACGGCGGCCATGGCGTCGGCTTCCGATGCGGCGGCTGCGCTGGAAATCTCCGGCCGGGTGGAGCGCCACGGGGCGTGCTCCGGGGCCGACATGGACGCCGGGCCGGCCGACGCCGGCCGGCCCTTCGACCCCCGGCCGCCGGTGGAGCCGCCCCTGCCGCCCATCGGCAGCCCGGAGGCCGGCTCCATTGTCCTGCCGCCGCTGCCGCTGCCCGGGGACCATTCCCCCTGGAAGCGCGTGCCCGTGGTCACGGTCTCCTCCGTGCGCTACCACTCGGACTATGCCTCGCGGCTGAGCGACAGCGACGGCGCGGCCGCCGCGCACGCGGCCGCCCAGCAGCCCGGCCCGGCCGGCCCCACGGCCGGCCCGCAGGTCAGCCCCCTGGATCGGCCCGGGACTTTCGCCGGGCCGCCGAAGAACCGCGTCGACGAGTTCGGCGTGGCCACCCCGTCGGCCGGCCTGTCCGACGCCGATGGCGGCATCTCCCGGCTGTGGAGTACCCTCGGCCAGCTGCGCGCCGAGCTGATGGTTCGCACCCCCCCCCCCCTCCCGGCGCTTGGCCCTCGCTGCCCCTCCTCCCACTGGCCCCGGCCGTGTGCCTCGCCGCCCGGCCGCCCCTTTGCCACTCACCGTGATCCCCCCCCCCCCGCCCCTTGCTTTCTCTTTTTTGTCGCCGCCTGCGCCACCGCAGGTTGGCCACCGCCTGGCCGAGCGCCGCGCGGCCCAGCGCGAGCGTGTCTTTTGGCGCGAGGTTGTCGACGGTGTCGTGCGCGAGTGCGTTTTCCCTTCTCCCTCTGCTCGGTCGCCTTTCCCTGCCGCCGCTGCTCGGCCCCACACGGGCGCTCCC